CGTATTAACGCAAATCATCTGCGACAATCGGTTGAGCTATACCAGTCAGAAATGCTTCGTGTCGCTTCAGCTTCCGAGGGCGAATATAAATTCATTTATTGTTAGACTATCCCGCAATACACGGCTGCATGGCGGGTTGCCTAGCTTCCGTCCTATAAACGCAAATCATCTGCGACAACCAGTCGAGCTATTCCGGCCAGTACAGGCGCTGGCGTTTCCATATAATTCACTTAAATCTGAGGGCACCCATTTTGTAATATAAAGTCCGTGGCAGTGTATTAAAAACGACAAAATACCGCTGCGTGTCGATTTGCATACCATCTACCATACTAACGTCCCGAAGCTAAGCATCTTTAAATATCAGTCAAGCGATTCCAGGTCACACTAGAACGCATCAAAATTGTGAGTCTGACATTTTCTTTTTGTTTGCAGGCCTGCCTCACTGTCATCTCCTGCTCATCCTGCAGCCGGAGGACCGGCCTCAGACCGGCGCCGATGCGGACACGATCGTCTCGGCGGAGCTGCCGGACCCCACCGAATCGCCGCAGTCGGCCCGTCTGCAGCAGATTGTCCTCACCAGCATGGTTCACAACGAGTGCGGCGCTGCTCGGCCGACCGCGACCTGCATGAAAGACGGTCAGTGCTCCAAACGGTTCCCGAAACCGCTCTCCCACGAGACCATCTGGCAGGAGGACCGAACGTACCCCCAGTACCGGAGGCGCGGACCCGAGGACGGCGGCCAGCAGGCGGAGCACAATGGGAGGCTGGTGACGAACCAGTGGGTCGTGCCCTACAACCCGCTCCTCAGCCTTCGCTACGAGTGTCACATCAACGTGGAGGTGTGCTCCTCTGTGGACGGAGTTAAGTACATTTTTATGTACATTTACAAGGGCTCCGACCGGCAGATGGTCCGCGCAGATCAGCTGATCGAGGCCGGTCAGGACGAGGTGGCAGCCTTCCGAGACCTCCGCTCCATTGGTGCGAGCGAAGCATGCTGGCGGCTGTTCAGCTTCGAGATGAGCGACCGGTCACCAGCGGTGCTGGCGCTACAAGTTCATCTCGAAGACCATCAGCTGATCTTCTTCCAGCCTGGGGAGGAGCGGCAGGCAGTGGCTGAGGAGCCGCGCCACACGCAGCTGACTGCCTGGATGACCTACAACCGGGCGTCGGCCGGCGAGGACCCCGAGTGCCTCCGGGTGCTCTACCCGGATTTCCCCCAGAAGTACCGCTGGGACGCCGGCCAGAAGCGGTGGCACCGGCGCCGCAACATGCAGGCGGCGCCCACCATCGGCCGGGTGGTGAGTCTCACACCCAGGCACGGGGATGTATTCTACCTCCGGGTATTGCTGCATCACGTCCCCGGCGCCACGACATTCGCCGATCTGCGCACGGTGGACGGCCAGGTGTGCGACACACACCAAGAGGCGTGTCGGCGGCGTGGCCTGCTCCAGGACGACCAGGAGTGGGCGGAGACGCTGGCTGAGGCCGTCCGCACACAGCGCCCCGGCCAGCTCAGGCAGCTGTTTGTGGTGGTGCTGCTATTTTGCGCGCCGGCCGATCCCGCAACCCTCCTCCACCGGTTTCAGGCAGCAATGGGAGAAGACTTCGCCCGCCGCCACCCAGAGCTGCCGCCGGAGACGGTGACGGGACTGGTGCTACTGCGCATCAGCGACTCCCTCCAGCGGGCCGGCAAGACGCTGGAGGACTTCGGCCTGCCGCCCGTGCCAGCTGAACACCAAGCAGCGGCCGCCGCCTTGGAGGGAGCCGAGGAGCTGCGGCGCCTGCCTCCCATTATACGGGAGGAGGTCGACTTCGACCGTGCCGACCTTCAGCACACCGTCGACCAGCGGCTGCCAGGCCTACTGCCGGATCAGCGCCAGGCGGTGGACACGGTGCTGGCCGCGGTTGACGGCCAGGAGCCGCTCGCCCTATTCTTGGACGCACCAGGTGGCACTGGCAAAACATTTACCTTTAATCTGCTCATCTCTGCGGTGCGAGCCAAGGGCCTGGTGGCACTTGCCGTGGCGTTCAGCGGTATCGCCGCTACACTGCTGGACGGCGGGAGGACTTTTCACAGCCGTTTTAAAGCTCCTCTGCGACCGGACGACACCGTCATCTTCAACATCTCCGCCCAGAGCGAGCTCGCCCAGCTGATCCGGTTAGCGCGCCTCATCGTGATGGATGAGGCTCCGATGGCGCACCGGCATCACATCGAGGGCCTCGACCGGACGCTGCGCGACCTGACGGGGTCCGATCAGCTGTTCGGCGGCAAGGTGGTGGTGCTGGGCGGCGACTTCCGGCAGGTTCTGCCTGTCGTCCGGCACGCCAACCAGGCAGGCATCGTGGACGCCAGTCTCCGTCGCTCGCCGCTGTGGCGCCACTTCAGCGTACACCGGCTGCGGGAAAACATGCGCGCCAGGCTGGCGCAGGAGGAGAACCAACAGGCCGAGCTGGAGGAGTTCTCCACCTGGCTGCTGCAGCTCGGCAACGGCGAGCTGCCCACAGACGCCGAGGGACGGGTCACCCTGCCGCCGGCGCTGGTGCTGGAAGCCGAATTGCCGGCCGTCATCGACTGGACCTTCGGCAACCTGACCGACGCCGACAGCATGGCGTCCCGCGCCGTGCTGGCGCCCACTAACAGCACCGTCGACTCGGTGAACAGTTATGTCACCGACATCTTCCCGGGCCGGGCCGTGGAGTGCCTCAGCGCAGACGCCACCGTCGGGGAGGAGCAGGAGCCGGTACCCCAGGAGTACCTCAACGGGCTGTGTGTGCCAGGCCTCCCGCCTCATCACCTGCTTTTGAAGCCCGGCATGCCAGTCATCCTGCTCCGAAACATCGACCCGGCCAGGGGACTGTGTAACGGCACCCGGCTCCTGGTGGTGGCCGTCCACGGCGGCCGGCTCCTGGAGGCGACCGTGGCCTGCGGCAGCGCGGCCGGCCGCCAGGTTCTCATCCCCCGCCTGACGCTGCAGCCGCCGGACGACGCCTTCCCGTTCGAGTGGCGGCGGCGCCAGTTCCCGGTGCGGCCCGCCTTTGCGCTCACAATCAACAAAGCGCAAGGTCAGACGCTCCGGCGGGTGGCCGTCCTTCTGCGAGAGCCCGTGTTCGGCCACGGACAGCTCTATGTTGCCGCGTCCAGGGTCGGCCGCTGGCGGGACCTGCGCTTCGTCCTGCCGCCGGGCAGCGGTGGACGGACCGCCAACGTCGTCTACCGGGACGTGCTGTGAGCCGGCAGCACACCGCCCAGTTTCTCTACCCGCAGGCATCGGTTACGCTTTGAACCACCTGCGGGGTCTCTTTTCTGTTAAAAAGAGATCCATCTGCAATTCATTGTGGCCGCCTCCTCGTGGCGATTGTGGGTAACGCTAAGAGCCACACAAAGCACAGGTGAGATTTGATTTACGAAATGTTATACGTCATTACCCAATTTTCACTATTGTGCCTAATTACTTCAGTCCAGCTGGATTTGCGAATTGCGATTCACTCACAACTTAGTACCTGTGCCTGAAACGTGACTATGCCTGAAACGTTATTATAAACATAACCTATATGTAGTAAATTATTTGAACTACATATCCAAGTAGCTTATCAGTCTGAATTGGTTAGGTCAATGACCCATTTATTTGAATTGTATCCATTTGGACCGCATCATTCATCTTTTCGCGTACATCAAGGCTTCTAGAAGTCACTATTACACAAAACCATTACTACTCGAACTGGCCAATTATGCGCAAGCCATATCCTCGCGACGCGAAGCAAGCGGCTTGCCGCTTGTCTACATATATAAAAATCAAAACGTCCGTATGTATGTATGTATGTATGTACGTATGTATGTGACGCGTCAGTCACGCTTGGCGGGCTATTGCTCTGGAACGGTGCGGGCTACGGGGGTGAAATTTTCGACGTAAGTCGGACGCGTGCATCTGTTTGTTGTATTAAATTTTGGTGGGGGTGGGTTCGGTGGTTTGCACGTGGCGGGCGCATCTTTGCGGGATTTTGGGCCGCGGCCGGCGCCGAGCAGAGAGCACGCGCCTTAGGCTCAGTTTCTTCGCTGCAAAACTGAGGGAAATCAGAGCCGGCAGGTCACTGACCTTTGGCAATGAATACCGGAACAGAGCACCGCCGGCCAGGAGGAGACGTCAAATTAATTCTGGCAATAACTCGACCACTGCTGGGCCGATTTTAGTGAAAATTGATTTATTACGCTGCGCGTAATGCTGTCCCTCTTTACGCTGCGCGTAATGCTGTCCCTCTAGTTTTAATAGAAAAATGAACGATCTCTCCGAAAATCAAGCCAGTAATACAGTGGCACCCACAGAGCGTGAGCAATGACGGTTCAAATTAAGGGGGTCGCTAATTAGGCTAGGCACCTTACCCTACCCCGGATAACTGACGTCGGTAGGCTGTAGGTATCATCGGGCAGACGATGGATTCATCGGGTCGTTCATACAATTATACAGCGCGCTTCTTTGTCTTTCATTAGGTATGCCTACTTCTTGTTAATAAGATACCCATAGTTTGTTTGTTTTGTTGGATTAGACCCTTTCGGTCTGACAAGACTATTTCGGAGCCTGAAGGATGGTAGGATTAGGAATTAGGGAGACATTGGTCTGGGCAGGCACCCATAGTGACTAGTGAGTCACCGGGGCTGATCGCGTCCAAAAGAACAGACCGACCAGCCCTCCCTGGCGTCACTGCACCCGGCTACGGGTGTGCTTCCCTGGGAGCAGCGGTACCGCTCCAAGGGAGCAGCCCGCATGAGATAAAGTTGCCGGTCCAGCCAGGATCGAGGGTTGTGGCGTGGAGGAGAAGGAATTGAAAATTCTGAGGATGGAAATGACGGACGGGTGAATAGCATATAAGCATTGGCTCAACATTTACTATCACGGCGGGTCGGCGGCGCCCATCGGGAGCCGGCCGGCCGCCGCTCCACCAATGAGGAGGCCGCCTATTCTGACCAATCAGATCACGTCCCGGTCGCCTGACCTGACCCACCCGACCTTGGGTCGTGGCGCAGCCAGGCGCAGGGGAACTAGCGGCTGCAGCGGTGACAAGAGCTACGATTCAACAGTAAGCTTATGGATTTTTTCTCGACTTTTTTCGTTTAATGCAATGTATACGTGTTTGATGTGATGTTACACTTCAATGTTCTGTACCTACTGTTCATGCGCTGTGTTCTGCTAAGTTTTGTGACGGCATTGTGAATATTTGTGCAGACTTTTCTTAAAGCGAGCTTATGACGTTGATTAACCGAGCGAGATGTTACGGTACTACAAACTTTCTGAATGCTGGAATCCTCTTCTAGCCTCGCGAGGGCCTGGGGCCGTCGCCGTCTGTCCTGAAACGGTGAATGGTGATGGTTTCCAAACCATTGTCGGCCGGCCCCGGGTACCACGAGAGGAGAGGCAGGGGCGACCGGATGGCGAAAACATAACGATTAACGCATACAGCCGACCGACACTGCACCGGCGCTTCAGATCGAGGTAAGTTTAACCATCTTAAAGAACCATCCATCTTTTAACCATCATAACCATCTTTTGGTTGAGATGTGGCAAGAAATAAACGAGTTATAGCAAAACGGAACTTACTTATTGAACAAACTGGTAAATGTTATTAACTTTGCTGTTTTCCTCGTGCAGAAACAACTAATAGGTACAGTGACGCTTATGACGCCGAGATAAGCAAGAATTTTCCGTGAGCTCCACGATAGCGTATGGACTGGTAGGCAGAATCGGCTGCGGGTTGGAATAAGAAACCTGTTTAATACGATGACCTCCGTAGTGTCCGGTACCACTTCTCTGGGTCAACCAATGAACCAGACCAAGAGGAAAAGAAAAATGGCCGCATGGGCGATGTGCACTGAGCATTGTCTCTCCGCTCCTAGCGTAAAACTTATGGGTATATAGATGGAATAATTATGCTGAAAGCCTTTTAGACTATAAAGTAAACACATGTCAAGTGGCATGTGCATCATTCCTCCTAACAAAAGTCGGGAGGTGAGGTCGCACCTTTAGTTCGCCACCGGCCAATCGGCTAATGTGCCATTGTAAATGATGTTGTGCCGATCGCTATGTTTGCGATGTGCCTGCAGCCTGTCGTGAAGCGCCCACAAGTCCATGTGCTCTGACAATGGACAGACCGGCCAGCGGCGCTGCGCGGGCGTCCGCACCTCACGGGGGAGGGGGAGGGGGGCGTCAATAGTCACACGCCACACGGGCCTGGAGGACTCTGAAATGACAAGTCTTATATCGACACTGCTGCGCGACTCTGCGTTGGCAGTGTCCTCACTCCTCAGTATGGGGGAAATTGAAAACAGGGCTAAGGGAGGCAAAACGTCAAAAAATGTTGATCAATTAAAAAAGTTTATTGTATTTTCGAACGATTAGGCACCGACACTTTTTCATAAGTCCTCTTAAAAATGGACTCATAACCGCTGCCAAACTCAGTGGATGCTCTAAGTCTATGGATTTTCAATCGGTCTCTATCCGTCTTCGTGGATCGGGCGTGCGTACAATGGCCACTCCACACAGCGTGACAGCAGTCAGCCCCCTCACCCGCGGGCGTCGAGGCACAGAAAACGGACCACCAGTGGCGACTTTGGCGCCGTAGCAGACGTCAAGCGGTGACTGACGCAATACGAACGGGTGTGCTGGGTAGGCTGGAATGTCGATTCACATGTAGTAAAACTTTTTTTTTTTTAAACTGTACTTTACTATAAACATATTAAAACATAGTAAAACACCTCGGCATTCGGTTTCAGCGCAGCAATGGTTCCCTGGCGTGATTATCACGGCTCCTCCTCCCAGAGTCGCTGACAGGTAGAAGACTTGATGCATTTTAATCCCGCTAACCTGAATATGATTTTTTTTGCTCTCGGTTATTGATCTAATGGTCATTCAAATCGCTTTCTGTTGTATCCAATATTCATTCATGCTTGCCATCTCTTTACTTTTGATTCTTTATCAATCATAACCAATGTTCATTTATTCACTCATTCATATTTGCTTATCGATATCTCCCATTCACCCATTCATCATACATTGACTGGAGATGACTGTTGCTACATCGCTCGCCGTCGACCCCTGACCCAGCTGGAATAACCACCAGCCTTTGGCAGTCACAACCGAGGGGTCAAGGTCGGGTCAAACGACAACCGTGACAACAATACAGCCAGGCGCCGCCCCTATCGAACAGACTGGCTGTAAATCTAGCCGCGGTACACATAAAACTAATGAATAAATAATCGATGTCTCGGCTAAGCTTAATTATTATTTCGTGTGAATTTCTATCAATCACCATATACGAGGATAGCTGAAACTGCGGGAAGGAAAGCTAGCTTTGTTATAGGCATGCTTGTTTATGCTTGTTATTTGTTAACGAGTAACGACTGCTAAAATATCGGCCAAATGCTTATTGCACAATGAAATACTCGTTTAGTTATCAATGAGACGCGTGTAGGCCCCTTGCACACGTATCATGCAGCTGGCCTCATACATATACCTGAGATAGCTATAACCGTAACTCCCACAACTAATGTCCATATGTGGGTATATGTGAATAACGGAATATCGGATACGGCTGACTTTAACACAAACAGCCCATTTTCTCACCCACACGTATGAAAAGAGCAGGGCCTATTTTAACATGTTAACTGGGGGGGCAAATGCCCCCGCACTCAACAGAATTGCCCCCCTAGTCGTCGAGATTTGCCCACTATAAAAATGGGCATAAAGGAACAGGGTGACAAACATACTACGTAACTACTGTGACTTGTTTTGCAATGGATGTCAAATGAGTCAGTCTGTAAGTAATGACCAGTGGTGTATCTAAGGGTGGGTCATATGGGTCATGACCCCCCACCCTCTTGGGGCCCGGGGACACCACAGGCCTGCCAGGGGCACTACCGGCCTGTCAGGGGCACCACAGGCCTGTTGGGAGCACCATCAACCTAGCAAGAGCACCATAGGTCTGCCAGGGGCACCACAGACCTGCCAGGGGCCCCACCGGCCTCGCAGGGGCACCACCTTGGGCCTGTCAGGGGTACCACCACAGGCCCGCCAGGGGCACCATAGGCCTGCCAGAGGCACCATAGGCCTAGCAAGGGCGCCACGGACCTGTCAGGGGCACCAGAGGCCTAGTATGGACACCACATGCCTGGCAGGGACACCACCGGCCTCGCAGGGACTGGGACACCTTGGGCCTGTTAGTGGCACCACGTGCCTGTCGGGGACACTCCAGGCTTGTCAGGAGCACCACAGTCTCCGCAACCATTTTTAACCACCCTCCCAGGAGTACAGTAAGGTCCCATTGCAGTGTAGTCGTCCCTGCTCTCAGCGGACTTGTTCGGTTATATCCGGTCAGAGCAAGTACGACTACACCGCAATGGGACCTAGCACTACTCCTGGGAGGGTGGTTAAAAATGGTTGCGGATAGGGGTACCCGTAAAACACCGGTTTACTCGCCAGCCTTGGGTTAAATTGTTTTCAGTGAGGGCCCAGGGGCACCACCGGCCTCACGTGGACACCACCGGCCTCGCAAAGGCATCATGGGCCTGTCAGGGGCACCACGGGCCTGTCGTTGGAACTTCAGGCTTGTCAGGGGCACCACAGTTCTTTCAGATGCACCGGCGGCCTAGCACCATGGCACCATGTTTGGCCGAGGTCGCGATTCGGCGTATGTCGCCTCGCATTAGCCGCGCGTTTGCAGTCTTTTCGTGGTTTCAAACGTTCAAACATGGGATATGATGCAGCTCCCATGCATATTAGGGTGGGTGTCAAGATCACCGGAAGGTCAGGTCAGATCATTTACCTTTGATGACCTCGGTTCACATTTTCGAGTTTTATATGTTTCTACTTTCTAGGCTAGTTTTTGGAGCTGAATTCGAATTAAGCAACCATTTGACCATTTACGAAGTAGTTTTGGTGCCTTCGTAACATGTTACGAAGCTGTCAGAGGCGGTTGCCACCTACTACGAATACCCGGCAAAACCCTTACTGGTTGACCTGACCTGACCTGACCTGGCCTAAATGCATGAAGACATCATCTATGATCATAACTAACATGATATTCGTGATCAGCACCCCGAAAAACCATAGCAGCCACTCTTTACGACGCTCTAACAGGTCCCGATTTTCCCGACTTTTGGGTCAATGATCTGACCTGGAAGGTCAACCGATGACCTAGGACCTTAAAATTGGGTATAATCGGCTTCCTTTTATCACGGGCAACACGGTCGTTTTTTCCGCGAAGCTCTAGCTCGATCAGGGGCGAAACGGCAAGGGGGAGGGTCCAACGGACCCCCCCCCTATACGCTCGCTACTGGAAACACCAATACGGGCGAGGGTTAATGGATTATTAAAGACAATTTTCTAGGTTGCCCCCCCAGTCAAATTCCCTTAAAATAGGCTCTGGAAAAGAGAGGTGGCCAGGCCAGGCCGTGTCCCGTGAGCTGATTGTGACGTCTCACTACCGTTATAAATTATGTAAAAGTCAAATGCAGCGAGCATTTTTCCAATGTTTGAGCTATACATAAATGATGATTTTATGATACGGCGACATTTTCTAACATTCGTTCTGTTTGCTTTCATTTTCTTTGTGTTAATCAGCGAGCACTGGAAACAGCATTTCAAAAGTTTGATTACGAGCGTGCAGTGGGAATACCCACGTCGATGGATGTGGTTCGAGGCACAATGTCTAATATACGCATTAAATTTTGCATTATGCTAATAAATGCGGTGTGTGATCACTGATCAGGTAACTATTAACGTCATCCCACGAAAATGCGTTATTGTGAGGTGAGAGAGAACATTAACTGACAGCGCGCTTATTACATTTTGTGGTGTGGTTCTTCACTGCCTTTCCAAGGACATTCCTTGGGGAAATTTCCATTGAAGCGTGATATCATTTTGGAGGTTATTATCGTCATTAGCCGTTTTCACGACGGGCTATCCGGCGAATGCACCTGATTTGACCAAATCTGCACCTAATTTATTTTACAGCAAATATCTTATGAATTTATTTCAGTGTTTTAGTCGATGATGCTCTCTGATAATATGACAAAGCAGGCATATAAGCAATTAGTGCAACCCTAGCTGATAGCTGCTAAGAGACACACTGAACCTGATTTGACCAAATCTGCACCTAATCTGTACCAGATGTGCACCAAATGTGTACCAGATGGCCGTCGTGAAAACGGCTATTATCGCAAAATGCGAGGCGTTCGTAAAATTGTAGTGACTCTAAATAAATGACCTTGTGAAATTATATTTGAACGCTTTAATTCAATCCCGTGATGTGCATATTTTTAGATGCATATTAATGGTCATTTATGCTCGCTTTATTTTCATCAGCTGCGTTGGTTGAAGTAAGAAAATACCACCAACATAAAAAAGAAGCAAAGCCGAAAGAACTGATTTTGGTGCTCGAGAGCCAGAGAGAATCGAAAAGTCAAGAAATCACAGTTCCGTAATGCCTTCGTATATGG